GAGAGCACATGTGCTTATCAAAAGCGGAGGGAGAAAGTACCCCACAATGAGATGTGGTCACATCATAATCCCTTTCCCTTTCTCCATCCTGTTGGGATTTGGGACATGCATGCACGTGTGCCTAGTGTTTCAAGCTGCTGGAACTGGGATTCAAACCATAGTTGGTCATGTGGGATCCAGCTCCCTTTATCACTAGGCTACAGGGCCAACCAGTCATCTGCCTTCATCATATTTTTGTAAGCCACCTCTTTACATTTGCAAATAATATTTTTTACAATCAATCCTTGTTATCTTACCATTCATTAAACATGTATAGATGTGGTTTGCAAAATACTTCTCAGCTGTCTCATTCTTCCCCTTGTCTCCCTCTATATTGTTTTTTGTTTTTTGTTTGTTTGTTTGTTTGTTTTTTTTTAATTTACTAGAGTATATGTGCACTTGCCAGAGAGAAATGGGGTTGGGAGAAAGTGAGAAAGCACCATCCACGTCCACTTTCCCCTATTCCCCTGTGAGGAATGACCATGTTATAATCCCTTTTCCTCCAGCTCTCCCTCCTGTCGAGATTTTGGGCATACACACACATATCTGGCATATTTTAAGCTGCCAGGTCTAGAACTTGAACTGCATGTTCAGCCATGTGGGACCTAGCTGCCTTAACCACTATGCCATCGGCCGGCATGCCTCCCTCCACTTTTCAGGCAGTGTGTGCGTGTGTGTGTGTGTGTGTGTGTGAATGTACCAAAAATTAAACACAGTCATGGTTAGGTTGAACATGTTAACTAGTATAATAGATTTTTAAATCATGAAAAAGGAAAATAACATTTGTAGTAAAATTAGATATGATAGAAACTAGTCTTTAATTTCCCTAGAAAGTTTTCCAGATCTATAGGCTCCATAGGCTGGCAGGATAAACCTTAGAATTTACTTATACTAGCTCCTTAATTTTTAAATGGAAAAATTTAAATGTGTATCAGCCTTCAAAACACCTGGAGGTAAATAAAAATAAACAGTTCCTTTTTTCTTAGAACTCTAAAAAATTTTTTTAAAAATTTATTGTTTGAATTGCCAGAAGGTGCATGACCTTGCCAGAGGGAGAGGAATATTCCACAGTGGGACACGGTCATGTTACAATCCTTTCTCCCCCACTTCTCCATCCTGCTAGGATTTTGGGCACACATGTACATACAACTAGCATGTTTTTCAAGCCACCAGGGCCTGGATTTGAACTGTGGTAGGCCATATGGGATCCAGATTCCTTATAGAGCCAGTCCTTTAGAACCTTTAATATACGAATGTATAATCCCACTAATGGGAGGGGATTATTATATCCAACTTTTATTTTACCACAGAATATCTTACTACAGGTTACATTTTAGTATCTCCTGAGATACATTTTTGAACATTGATTAGCTATCAATTCTAAGTACTTTACATGTTTTAACTATTTTTTTTTATTTGTTTATTTTTTCTTTAAGAGGGTTTTGCCTTATGGCACATACACTTGCTGGAGAGAGAGAGACAGAGATAGATACAGTGAGAGGGAAAGTGAGAAATTACCCCCCAGGGGGGATGGCCACCCCACAATCCCTTCCTGTCTATTCTCCTCCTGGGATCTTGGGCATGCACGCACACTTGCCCAGTGTGAATTTCAAGCAACCAGGTCTGGGACTTGAACTGTGATCAGCTATGTGGAAGTTCAGCAATGTAAGTGGTATGTAATCTGCTGGTCCCTCAACTCCTTTATATACTACATATATGAACTCCTTCTTAAACTTACACAAAAATCTGCTTTTAAGAAGTAGTAAACCAGGGAACCAGCAGTTAGCGTAATGGCTATGTCGCTGGACTCCCACGTAGTCGACCGCGGTTTGCGTCCCGGACCTGGTGGCTTAGAACTCATGCCGGGCGTGTGTGCGTGCGTGCCCAAGATCCCGAGAGGAGAATGGAAGAGAAGGGATTGCGGTGTGACCATCCCCCCTAGGGGGTGATGTCTCGCTTTCTGTCTCTGTGTCTCTCTCTGTCTGTCTGGCGAGCGCACGCACCCTATAGCAAAAACCTCTCCGAAAAAAAAAAGTAGTAAGCCATATTTGAGAATGTAGGATATAAGTTCTGAGTATTGATTATCTTACTGATTATCTACATATTCATCATTATGTTTTCTCTCTACTTAATAATTGATCTATTTATGTAGCTTACTTTGAATATTTATTCTAGCCCCTGTATACTATAGCTTAAATGTCAATATATAATACACTTTTTTTTTTTCCATAGGGTGCATGTGCTCACCAGAGAGAGAGAGAAAGGGAAAGTGAGAAATCACCCCCCGGGGGGGAATGACCGTGCAGCAATCCCTTCTCCTCCATTTTCCTCTTGGGATTTTTGGCACGCATGCACACGTGCCTTGTGTTATTTTCAGGACCCTGGGTTCAGGACTCAAACCATGCTTGGCCATGTGGGAGTCCAGCACCTCAACCACCATGCCACCTGTTAGCGCCATATGTCAATATACTTTTTGATAATTTCTTAGAGCAATTCTTTTGTTTAGTCTTTATTTATATTTACCATAAGCCCATTGTATATCATGGGCTTCTGGTATTCCATAATACATTAAAAGATTACCTGGTTAAATACTTTGTCAATTTTGATTATCCACATATAGTCTTCTCCACTTTAAAAATATCCAGAATAGGGTCAGCCAGGTGGTTGGTTGATGGTTAAGGAACCTGACTCCCATGTGGCCTACTGTAGTTTGAGTCCTAGACCTGGCAGCTTAAAACTTATGCCAGGTGTGTGTACAAGCATGCGTGCATCCCAAGAGGAGAATGGAGGAGAAGAGACTGCAGCATGGCCATCCCTCCCCTGCTGAGGTGGCATTTCTCACTTTTTTTCTCTCTGTCTTTCTCTGTCTCTCTGGTGAGCGCACACTCTCTATAGCAAAAATCTCTTTAAAAAAAAGAAGAGGAATGACATTGGTTTTTGGATTGAGATAGTCATTTTTTTCTCTTTATGTTTTATTATAATTCTTAAAAATCAAGAGAGGGGGCCCAACTGCAGTGGCATGCACTGGTAGACACTGCTACTTACCAGGCGAAGGCCACATGGGAGGCCCAGGTTTAACTCCCCTGTCCACCCATGTGCCAGGACACTCACCTGCAGTCCCAGCAACTTAGGCAGGGAGTACACAGTATTTTAGAACATGTAAGGAGGGCCAGCAGGTGGCGTGGTGGTTAAGGGCGCTGGACTCCCATATGGCCGACCATGGTGCAAGTCCCAGACCTGAAGGCTTGCTTTCTTGCTCTCTCTCTCTCTCTTTCTCTCTTTTACTCTGCCCTTCTCTGGAGAAACTAAAATAAATAAATAAAGTTAATATAATAAAATAATTCTTTATAAGAAAAAAAAACACATAAGGGATAGTTTTATAAAAATTCTAAATCATGGGTCTGGCAAGTGGTATGGTGGTTAAGGGCACTGGACTCCCACATGGCCAACCAAGGTTTGCGTCCCAGACCTGGCAACTTACTTTCTCATTTTTCCTCTCTCCCTCTCACACACTCACTCTGTCCCTCTCTGGTCAAATCAAAATAAATAAAGTTAAATAAAATAATTCTTTTTTTTTTT